CAATAAAAAGTTGTGATGAATGGTGATTCACACATAGCACAGGGCCATTCACCAAAAGTCTATGCATTGAATGCTATGTAATTATTTCGAATTTTGTCCATAATTCGGTCATTTCTGGCCATTGGCAGATTTTCTCAACGGTAAACAAATCTATGGACCGTACTAAACATGTACATACCAATCAGAATGGGCTAAGCAATTTGCTATTTAAATATTTTCCTTTTTAGTCAAAAAATATTTATATTAATTGTTAATAACATCGAAATATAATTATTATAATTGTGGCCAAAATGTCGGATAAAATAGATCAACAAATGTTAGATGAGATGAATGACGACACTATGGTTTGGGAGAAGAATCGGTTGAAGACATTCAAGAGTTGGTCCATAACTGATGGCAAGTGTACCAAAGAGCAGATGAGTTCCTGTGGTTTCTATCGATACAATGGCGGCGATTCTGTCCGTTGTTTCTGTTGTTTCAAAGAGTTGGACGGATGGCAGCCATCGGACGACCCCTGGGCTGAACACCAGCGCAATAATGACTGCTATTTTGCAAATTTAGCCAAACCTGAGGGCAAACTAACGGTCGGAGAATTGCTTTCAGTCATTCAAAACCGACAAATAAAAATCATTGAGAGATATAACCAACAAATGATTGAATTGGAAGAATTGGAAATGAAATCTCTTGGTTTGGATATTGAGAAATAGTAATATTAACACCACTTTTATTGATTAATAATCATTTATTGTTTACTTTGTTTGTTATTTAATGTAAATTTATTATGGTTTGAAGTTTCTAATAATTTATTAATAATCATCAAAAATGTTATTTATTTTGTGAATAATTAAACAATTTTCGGTCACCTGAATATCGGTTAAGTGTCTAATATATTAAACATAATTAAAATGTCATTTTTAACAAATAGTTAATTAACTTTTGCTATGAAGCAAGTAATATAAGAAAAATGCCATATATTTAAATTGAGTACATTTATATCATAAATAACATCAACTATATTTGTGTCATTGTTTTAAACAAAAGTAAAATACATTACTTTTGGCGACAATAGCCTATCAATGAATTGGTGGAGTTGTTAAGCGAAAAAGTTATTTTGTTGGAGACATTTGACACAAACACAGTATTTATTAAAGTATGAGTTGATTCTCAATGACAGGTAGTATTGTATAGTAGTTTTCTTATCGCATTTACACAGAGATGTCTTCACAAATCAATAATAATAAGAATAGACAAGCACTTTTGGGTAACTACATTCACTATTGAAGCACTCATAACTACCCGCCACTCCTATAGTAAATATATAGATGAGTCCACACACGAATGGAATGCAACACATGGTCTATACATCTAAACTAACGTCAAGACCTTTTCAAAGTTATGCAATACTGACTGTAATCGATAAACAGCACTACTGAGCAGTGGTGTGAGTAGCCAGACTGTATGAGTGATAAGCACATTCAATGCACTGTCAATGCTGACGAGTAGTATTATATAACTTTGAAAAGGTCTTGACGTTAGTTTATACACTGCTAACGCTAGAGTCAGTGAAGTGTGAAATGACATTTGACTCATCGTTGAAATGCAAATACATTGACTGACCATTTATTAGCGACTTTTAATTTTGACAAAATATTATTTCAATTATTTCAAAAAATAATAAATTACGATCCGTAATGTACGGGCTATATAGTCGTAATTAATGGCTAGTCTATCTATATTTGTGATACAATTTTTGTGCGCAAAACTTATAGATATTTTTGCTTATTATAGACACGAGAGTTATGTTTGATTTTTATTCAGTAATACTTATTTATAATAAATGTGTATATATTTAGCCAAATATGCTATAAATTGTATGCAACAATTTTCTACATGTTTGGCATAACTTCACTTTACAGCAACAAATTTAGCAAAAAATATGCAACATTTTCAACAGTTTATACAATTTATCATGATGCTTTAGCAAAATAAAATGTAAAATATAGTTTTCTAACAATATCATTTTATATAATTTACATGAATACATTTACAAAATTTTTTAATCATTTTTATTTTAAAAGATAAATTAAATTTTAATATCTATAAATCTGTCGATATCATACAAAGTGTCATACATTATTAAATACCGTCAATTAGTTTATAAATCCTACAGTATTAAACAAATAAAACAATAGTGACATGGTGGGTTTAATAAATTAAACTCGAAAAATAAATTTAATGTAAAATATTGTAATTTTAATAATAAATTCTAACATTCTTTATAAATAATTAATAACTATTCTTATAAGAAACTATTGAGATATTCTTATGTAATATAATATACAATATAAATTTACATAACATATTAATGCATATATTAATTATTTATAAATCAAATACTAGTTTAATAAATAATTACTTATTATTGATTAAAATAATTTTATAAAAGGCTTATTAATGATGTATTATATTTCAATCGATTGGTGTTATTCTGCACATAAAATAGCACTCATTATTACAGTGTATTACATATATCTGTATTTACAAAGTAAGCCATATAATCGAGGTAAACACACATATTAAATTACATGATCTATATTTATCAAATAAGATAACAAATGTTTTTTCCACAATAATGTTTGTATTTATATTATTAAATGATTGTAATTATTCTTTCTTTTGATTGAAATAAAAATAAGATTGAAATTAATTAAACGATTAATTGTGGTATCGGTTGTGACTCAAGTAATACCTAACGGATAGTCAATTGAATTCTTAACTCCCAGTATTGAGAGAGAGAGAGAGAGAGAGAGAGA